CTCCAGCCCCAGCTCCAGCCCCAGCCCCAGCTCCAGCTCCAGCCCCAGCCCCAGCCCCAGCCCCAGCCCCAGCCCCAGCTCTAGCTCCAGCCCCAGCCCCAGCCCCAGCTCCAGCTCCAGCCCCAGCCCCAGCCCCAGCCCCAGCCCCAGCCCCAGCTCCAGCTCCAGCCCCAGCTCCAGCTCCAGCTCCAGCCCCAGCCCCAGCTCCAGCTCCAGCCCCAGCCCCAGCCCCAGCCCCAGCCCCAGCCCCAGCCCCAGCTCCAGCTCCAGCTCCAGCCCCCGCTCCAGCCCCAGCCCCAGCCCCAGCCCCAGCCCCAGCCCCAGCCCCAGCCCCAGCTCTAGCTCCAGCCCCAGCCCCAGCTCCAGCTCCAGCCCCAGCCCCAGCCCCAGCCCCAGCCCCAGCCCAGCTCCAGCTCCAGCTCCAGCCCAGCTCCAGCTCCAGCCCCAGCCCCAGCCCACCCAGCTCCAGCCCCAGCCCCAGCCCCAGCTCTAGCTCCAGCCCAGCCCCAGCTCCAGCCTCAGCCCAGCCCCCCAGCTCCAGCCCCAGCCCAGCTCCAGCCCCAGCCCCAGCCCCAGCCCCAGCTCCAGCTCCAGCCCAGCCCAGCCCCAGCTCCAGCTCCAGCTCCAGCCCCCAGCCTCAGCTCCAGCCCCAGCCCCAGCTCCAGCTCCAGCTCCAGCCCCAGCCCAGCTCCAGCCTCCAGCCCCAGCCCCAGCTCCAGCCCCAGCTCCAGCCCCAGCTCCAGCCCCAGCCCCAGCCCCAGCTCCAGCCTCAGCCCCAGCTCCAGCTCCAGCCCCAGCCTCAGCCCAGCTCCAGCCCCAGCTCCAGCCCCAGCTCCAGCTCCAGCCCCAGCTCCAGCCCCAGCCCCAGCTCCAGCCCCAGCTCCAGCTCCAGCCCCAGCCCAGCTCCAGCCCCAGCTCCAGCTCCAGCTCCAGCCCAGCTCCAGCCCCAGCCCCAGCTCCAGCCCCAGCTCTAGCCCAGCCCAGCCCCAGCTCCAGCTCCAGCCCAGCTCCAGCCCCAGCCCCAGCTCCAGCCCCAGCTCTAGCTCCAGCCCCAGCTCCAGCCCCAGCTCCAGCCCCAGCTCCAGCCCCAGCCCCAGCTCCAGCCCCAGCTCTAGCTCCAGCCCCAGCTCCAGCCCCAGCCCCAGCCCCAGCTCCAGCCCCAGCTCTAGCTCCAGCCCCAGCTCCAGCCCCAGCTCCAGCCCCAGCTCTAGCCCCAGCCCCAGCTCCAGCTCCAGCTCCAGCCCCAGCTCCAGCCCCAGCTCCAGCCCCAGCTCCAGCTCCAGCCCAGCCCAGCTCCAGCCCCAGCCCAGCCCCAGCTCCAGCCCAGCTCTAGCCCCAGCCCCAGCCCCAGCTCCAGCTCCAGCCCCAGCTCCAGCCCCAGCTCCAGCTCCAGCTCCAGCCTCAGCTCCAGCCCCAGCCCCAGCTCTAGCTCCAGCCTCAGCTCTAGCTCCAGCCCCAGCCCCAGCCCCAGCTCCAGCCTCAGCTCTAGCTCCAGCCCCAGCCCCAGCTCCAGCCTCAGCTCTAGCTCCAGCTCCAGCTCCAGCCCCAGCTCTAGCTCCAGCCCCAGCTCCAGCCCCAGCCCCAGCTCCAGCCCCAGCTCCAGCCCCAGCTCTAGCCCCAGCCCCAGCCCCAGCTCCAGCTCCAGCCCCAGCTCTAGCTCCAGCCCCAGCTCTAGCCCCAGCCCCAGCCCCAGCTCCAGCTCCAGCCCCAGCTCTAGCTCCAGCCCCAGCTCCAGCCCCAGCTCTAGCCCCAGCTCCAGCCCCAGCTCTAGCTCCAGCCCCAGCTCCAGCCCCAGTCTCCGGACTCACAGACGGCAAACCAACAAGTCAAACCTCGCTGCAAATAAAATCAAAGCCATGCAGGACGGAGGAGCGTGGAGCAGAATTAAATCACCGATCGAGGCGAAAACGGCGCTGTCCAATTTTGGCGGCGGCTCGCTGGTAATGGGAGGCTGCGGCCGCGCTGATAAATCTCGTATTATCGATATGATCTGAGCCTCTCGGCCAACGGGACACACCTTATCACAAGTGACATGGCCAATCCCTCCCAGATTACATTCTACAGCCAAAAAGGCACACGGGAGGGGGAGGAGGGGGAGAGGGTGAGGGGATGGGTAGAGAGTTCAGGAGAGAGGGAGGAGGAGAGAGAGAAAGTGAGGGAGAGTGTGTAGAGGGGAGAGAGTGAGGGGGAAGCAGGAGAGGGTTGACGGGAGAGAGAGTGAGGGGAGGGGGAGAGAGAGTGGGGGGAGGGGGAGAGAGGTGGAAGCAGGAGAGGGTTGAGAGGAGAGAGAGAGAGAAAGTGAGGGAGAGAGTGAGAGGGAAGCAGGAGAGGGTCGAGGGGAGAGAAAGTGAGGGAGAGAGAGTGAGGGGAGGGGGAGAGAGGTGGAAGCAGGAGAGGGTCGAGGGGAGAAAAAGTGAGGGAGAGAGAGTGAGGGGACGGGGAGAGAGGGGGAAGCAGGAGAGGGTCGAGGGGAGAGAAAGTGAGGGAGAGAGAGTGAGGGGAGGGGGAGAGAGGGGGAAGCCTGAGAGGGTTGAGAGGAGAGAGAGAGAGAAAGTGAGGGAGGGGGAGAGAGGGGGAAGCCTGAGAGGGTTGAGAGGAGAGAGAGAGAGAAAGTGAGGGAGAGAGAGAGAGAGGGGGAAGCAGGAGAGGGTTGAGGGGAGAGAGAGAGAGTGAGGGGAGGGTCTCTGGTATTATCAAACATGTGTTCTGTTGTATGTCTGTATGTATCTGTTTGTAACGCGTTCTGTGAATGAGAGAAAATACACAGTGTGTATGTAAACGTTAGCTAGATCGCGGGTTAGCATCGTCCATAAGTTTACAGTCTATAATGCAACACAATAAACAGCTACACAAACTTGTACCAGTCTCTGAACACAACCATGAGTGGGTTGACTACAGACAATAAAAGTTTTAGCAGTGGATTTTAAGCTAATTTCTTGCACCACAGACACTTATTTATAACTTTTTATTCTGGGTTCAATTTTTAGAATAAAATAACGGATTCTTTTCTTGAGGCAATAGGTTTTAAAATGAGGTAGAACATGCCATTATAATTCTTTCCACCATGGCTGAAAGTTACAGGTAATCAAAAAGAATTGGTCCAGGGGCCACTAACAAGGGAGAAAACAGCAGCACCCGGAGGTTTCCTACGCAGACACGGAGAGAACATGCAAACTCCCCTCAGAAAGGCCCAGTTCATGCCGGGATTCGAACCTAAGACCTTCTTGCTGAGGATGGAGAGTGCTAACCTCTGGCTTTAATGTGGATTAGATTCAACTTCATTGTCATTACAAAATTGTGTTGCCACTTGATGTGTGGTTGTGTAGAGTGTGTGTGTGGTTGTGTAGAGTGTGTGTGTGGTTGTGTAGAGTGTGTGTGGTTGTGTAGAGTGTGTGTGTTGTGTAGAGTGTGTGTGTTGTGCAGAGTGTGTGTGTGTGTTGTGTAGAGTGTGTGTGTGGTTGTGTAGAGTGTGTGTGTGGTTGTGTAGAGAGAGTGTGTTGCCTGCTCTCACCTCTCGCTGGAGGCGGCGGTCGAGGTGGTGCTTGTGTAGTGTGTGTGTGGTTGTGTAGTGTGTGTGTGGTTGTGTAGGGTGTGTGTGGTTGTGTAGACTGTGTGTGGCTGTGTAGTGTGTGTGTGTTTGTGTAGGGTGTGTGTGGTTGTGTAGTGTGTGTGTGTAGGGTGTGTGTGGTTGTGTAGCGTGTGTGTTTCTCTCACCTGTCGCTGTAGGCGGCGGTGGTGGTGGTTGTGTAGTGTGTGTGTGGTTGTGTAGTGTGTGTGTGGTTGTGTAGGGTGTGTGTGGTTGTGTAGAGTGTGTGTGTTTGTGTAGCGTGTGTGTTTCTCTCACCTGTCGCTGTAGGCGGCGGTGGTGGTGGTTGTGTAGTGTGTGTGTGGTTGTGTAGTGTGTGTGTGGTTGTGTAGGGTGTGTGTGGTTGTGTAGAGTGTGTGTGTTTGTGTAGCGTGTGTGTTTCTCTCACCTGTCGCTGTAGGCGGCGGTGGTGGTGGTTGTGTAGTGTGTGTGTGGTTGTGTAGGGTGTGTGTGGTTGTGTAGAGTGTGTGTGTTTGTGTAGCGTGTGTGTTTCTCTCACCTGTCGCTGTAGGCGGCGGTGGTGGTGGGCTGAGCAAATCTGTACGCTGCATAACCTCCCTGTAAGACACACACACACTCAGTAAGTTGGATAAAAACACACATTTCTGACCAATCAGAGGGCAGCGTTCTGACCAATCAGAGGGCAGAGTTAGAGCGGGAGATAATCGAGCAGACTTTGTTTCAGTAAAGTGTGGATTTAAAGAAAACTGAAGGATTTAAGAAGAAAAAAGTTCAAGACGACAAGGGACACTAACATCCAATCAACCTTTATGAAAGCTGCAGGTTCTCTGTCAGGTTCTCTGTCAGGTTCTCTAGGTTCTCTGTAGGTTCTCTGTCAGGTTCTCTGTAGGTTCTCTGTAGGTTCTCTGTCAGGTTCTCTGTCAGGTTCTCTGTAGGTTCTCTGTCAGGTTCTCTGTAGGTTCTCTGTCAGGTTCTCTGTAGGTTCTCTGTCAGGTTTTCTGTAGGTTCTCTGTCAGGTTCTCTGTCAGGTTCTCTAGGTTCTCTGTAGGTTCTCTGTCAGGTTCTCTGTAGGTTCTCTGTCAGGTTCTCTGTAGGTTCTCTGTCAGGTTCTCTGTTAGGTTCTCTGTAGGTTCTCTGTCAGGTTCTCTGTAGGTTCTCTGTCAGGTTTTCTGTAGGTTCTCTGTCAGGTTCTCTGTCAGGTTCTCTAGGTTCTCTGTAGGTTCTCTGTCAGGTTCTCTGTCAGGTTCTCTGTAGGTTCTCTGTCAGGTTCTCTAGGTTCTCTGTAGGTTCTCCGTCAGGTTCTCTGTAGGTTCTCTGTCAGGTTCTCTGTAGGTTCTCTGTAGGTTCTCTGTCAGGTTCTCTGTAGGTTCTCTGTAGGTTCTCTGTCAGGTTCTCTGTAGGTTCTCTGTCAGGTTCTCTGTCAGGTTCTCTGTCAGGTTCTCTGTCAGGTTCTCTGTAGGTTCTCTGTCAGGTTCTCTGTAGGTTCTCTGTCAGGTTCTCTGTAGGTTCTCTGTAGGTTCTCTGTCAGGTTCTCTGTAGGTTCTCTGTCAGGTTCTCTGTCAGGTTCTCTGTCAGGTTCTCTGTCAGGTTCTCTGTAGGTTCTCTGTCAGGTTCTCTGTAGGTTCTCTGTCAGGTTCTCTGTAGGTTCTCTGTAGGTTCTCTGTCAGGTTCTCTGTAGGTTCTCTGTAGGTTCTCTGTAGGTTCTCTGTCAGGTTCTCTGTCAGCTGAGGTCTGTTTTAGTTTACATTGAGTTCTGCAGCACCAGGAGACTCCCCGCACACATGGTCCTTCAGCTCTAAGTAAAACTATCCAGATATTCTTATAGATCCATGAGACAGACTTTGTTGTCCCACAGTGAGGAAATATCAGGTTCATGGCTGCGTACATTACAGGACAGTAGAGAACAGAGAAGGTTAAGCCGGGGATGTGTTATCAAAGTAAAGCTGCCTCACTTCCGTCAGTGTGCCCCAGGGCAGCTGTGGCTACGGTATCAGTCTATGGAGTGAGTGAATGATGCGAAGTGTCTTTGAGTGTCTGGAAAAGCGCTAAATAAAACTGATGCATTATTATAATTAACTGTTTTAGAGCCAGGCCCGAGTTTTTTTTTGTTACATGGTTTACAAAGTGGATGGATGTGGTTTGAAAAAATAGGTAGCCCAGCTTTAAGTATGTACAATAACTCCCATTGTTATATCTCTACTGTACACTCTCTCACTCACACACAAACACAGTCCTCCAGTCGGGCTGACTCAGGGCGCAGCGCCTCTCTCCGACACCAGAGGGAGCCCTCTTACATTATGAATGGACCCGGAGCCGCTGATGGCTTCTGTGAATGATATTTCTCTGATCCATTGACACACGCCTCCTCCCACAGCCCATCTCCCTCTCCTCCCAGAGACAACACCGGTCCAGTTCCACACAACTGCTCCTCCCTCCCTCCCCCCCTCCCTCCCTCCTCACTCCCCCCCAGCCTCGAATGCATTATTGAGGAGCCCACTGCAAAATATGTGGAAACAAATGCTGGGTTTGGAAAGACATGCACTTTACTCGATACACACAGTCTGTCTGTTACTGTGAGTGCGTTCACGGCCGAGAAGACTATTCACTTTGTCGTTTAATTCACTTTGTCGTTCGTTAGCTCGTTAGAAATCGTTTTGTTTGTGTGGATAGATGTTTTTTCTGTGACTGGACACCTGAATTCATCCTACAGCGGATCAATAAAGTGTCTATCTCTGTCTCTATGACTCTGATTATCTTAAAGCTGAGGTATGTAACTTTCAAACCACAAAATGTTTTTAATAAGTACTGTATGTGTTAAAGATAGAAAAAAACTAGTCCGTCGCTTTCAAGACAGTTTGGTTCTATCGCTATAGTTATTTATATGTATTTTTTGGGCGTCGTTCACATCAGCTCTCAGTCAATCAGCTCTCAGCCAATCAGCTCTCAGCCAATCAGCTCTCAGTCAATCAGCTCTCAGTCAATCAGCTCTCAGCCAATCAGCTCTCAGCCAATCAGCTCTCAGCCAATCAGCTCTCAGCCAATCAGCTCTCAGCCAATCAGCTCTCAGCCAATCAACCCTCAATCAGATTTTTCTTATTTACAAAAATAAATGCGTCTAATGAGAAGAAAACGAAATTGGTTTTCTGATTTGTTCAAAACATTTTAAGACTCTTTCTGTTGGGACAAAATATATAGGTACCCCAGCTTTAATTATAAAATATATGAATAATAAAGACATAAAAGCAAAACAGTCTTATTTGGTTTCACTGTGGCCGAAGCTAAAATGGCCGCTCCAGGTCTGCTGGTGATGTCGCATGTTAACTCTGTCTATAATAGGTGTCACTTAACAACATTTGCCTCAAAAACAAACATGTTTTTTTCTCATTTCATGCACTTTTAGCTTTTCTCCTCTGATAAAGCTGCCTGTTGTTTTCTCATTTCCAGCACAAATGAATAAACGCTTTTGGAGAGATTTGATGAAAGCTCTGAAGGCGAGTGAGAGACATAAACACAAGACAATATGTGAGAAAAAGCCTGGTCGCTGTATAGAAAGTGCCCTGGCTGACCGAGTGTGACATCACCACAGCGTTAGCCTGAAGTGGAAGAAGCCCATTTAAGCTAGCTGGAGCCCATATCCTTTTATATGGGCATTTCTTTCGACAATGTTAGCTTAGCGCTGTTACAGGGGCAGGCGTGTTGCTAAGGCGGTTGCTAAGGCAAGTTGGAGTATCCCCCAAGAACGAAGCCATCTGATTGGTCAAAAGACAGAGGACGCTAAACCACAAACGGTTTCTGAGCTGGATGAGTTTAGTTTAACATGCAGGTCAAGAGGAGCCAGATGGAGCAAAACTTCATCCATGAGCACTTCTCTTTTGGGTTTCATTGAGCTAGTGGGTTAGCATTGTCCATGTATATATGCTAGCTTGCAAATGTCTTTGACAACTGATTGTATG